GCGGCGAGCTGGTGGGGGCTCTGAACCAGGGTGGACCGGCAGCTCCCCTATCAGCTCCCCTAAGTTCCCTGTGTGGCAGCCGCCCAGCAGGCTATCAATTGCTGGCAGTTCAGTTGTCCTTCCCCCCACTGCCATATGCTGCTCCTGCCCTCTGCCTTGGAGCTGCTCCTGGGAGCCTCCTGCTTGCTGTTCAGGGGGTAGGGAGAAGAGGGGGGCTAATGGTAGGGTGTCCCCCTCTCCACACTCCTGCTTCTGTACCACATCTCCACAGAGTGGGGGTGACACGACAGGGCTCAGGACAGAGGGAGCTTGCTGGCAGCAGTTGCTGTCTCAATTTGCTGATCTACTTAAAAAGGCAATGTAGTTAGAGTGGGGTCAGAGTACTTAAAGGGGCAATGTGCTTCTCTCTCTCACGCATGGTGTGTGTGTGTCTTTCTCTCTCTCTCTCTCTCTCTCTCTCACACACACACACACGGTATGTGTCTCTGTCTCTCTCTGCCATGCTGTGTCTCCTCCCTCCATTTGTGCTGAATTATAGAGTGTGAGGCTACATTAACAATGTGTTAACCCTTGAGGGCTCAGCCGAGTGCTAGTTCATCATTTATCAATAAGGCATTCCCTGGGAAATATCCCACCCTCTTCCACCCTCTGACTCCACCAACTCAACAAAGCTTCACAATCATCATTGCTGTGTACAGTATTAAATTGTTGTGTACATATAAAATATAGTATTTTGTCTGGTGAAAAAAATTTCTCTGGAACCTAACCGCCCCCATCCCAAGTACATTAATTCTTATGGGGAAATAGGATTCACTTAACATGGTTTCAGTTAAAGTAACATTTTTCAGGAACATAACTGCAACGTTAAGCGAGGAGTTACTGTAGTAGCTTTCCAGACCCCAGCCTCAAAAAGACAGACAAAAGAAAGAAAGAAAGAAAGAAAGAAAGACCAACCATCTGGAGCCGAGCATTTCTTACTAGATGGCAAAAGAGCCCGATATTATGTAAAGGACTTATACAAAACTACTCTTCAGAGATCCCTAGAGTGTATCTACAAGCAAAATTTTAGTCCTAATCCTGTGTATTTGAATTGTAATAGATGTTCAGTGCAGTCTCCATTTGCAGTGTCACAGAATGAGGACATAGGTGACTGTATTTTTAAGAAATGGGAGTATTTTACATTGATATCCGCACCATCTTTAAGACCCATGCTCCAATATTATGATTCAGTATTTTGTTTGTTGTCCTATATTAGGCTATCAGATCATCAGTTAATGAACAGCTGCACCAATTCCACACAGATCTTATGTGCTAACTAACAATGGAACATTACAAAACTACAAAGACTTGTCCTGTCCATTTAACCAGCATGTCACATATGGTAACCAAACATAATGCAGCCCTGTCAAAGGTCCACCCACAACCTTCACTGCATACTATAGAAATAAGCATTTGAGTTGTGTCTTCCTGCTTCCAAGCTCGTTCACACGAAAGCAACTTAAACATTTTAGAGATTATTGGATCAAAAAAAAAAAGTTTGACTCTTAAAAAAAAAAAATCAGATACTGTTAAAAAAAATTAACAATACCCTTCACAGTATCTAGATTTTTCTCTTAGAAATCAGTGTAGTAAAAAAAGAGTATTCAATCTGGTTTAAAATATAGCTTGATACTAAACTATAAAGCAGTGCAGCCTCCTTTCATAAGCAAAGATAAGTTATTCAGATAAAAGATCTAACCAGCACAGATTAAATGAGAGACCTGAATCCTCAGAATATTAAAGCAAGTGTAAAACCCAGCCACTAGGAAAATGTAACTTGTTGAACACTTTAACAAACACTTTTCTGTTTGGGAAAAAAGCCCTTCAAAGTTTATGAAACCTTATTTTGAAAGTTTAGTTACATCTATTCTGTCAGCTTTCCCTCATCAAGCATGAAAATATTCACTACACTGGCAATGTATTGTTAACTGGAAAACACATCCCCACACACACCTCTCATCTTGCCACAAGTTGGTAGGACATTCATATACTGGTAACTCCAACAACTGGAGGATAAAGGAACAACTAAAATTAAAGGTAATTTTCAGAACAAGATCTCTTCAGCTCTGTCTTATTTGGAAAAAGATGTCATTATATAGTTACTGGGGTGTGTGACATGACTCCAAGGCCAGAGTGGTGCTCAAGCAGAAATGAGGGAATATTGAATAAGCCTTACAACCACTCTTTGAAGAGGCTGAATTTCCCTTCCCACACTCCCAAAGTGAGTAAGTAGAAATGACAGTGGCAAATAGAGGAGTTTCAGAGGAACACTTTTCTATTCAAGATAGACACCATTTACGCCCCCCTAAGGCCGGCACAATAGAGGAGTGTGGCTTGAGCAAGAAATGTTCCTGAAACAAGTCCCGTACCATAAATAACGGTGAGCAAAACTAAATAGGAAGCATTCGTTCTACAACTCCCAAATAGCTATTTTAAGTACTTAATTAAACTCACTTCACACTGGGGAACATTACAAATTTGGAACAAGTTTTCTTAAAGGAAAACAATGGAGCCAGCAGCTGAGTTTTCCCAACCCTGTTCACCTTCTTACCTTTGCGAATTCATAGGCAAACTATTACACAAATAACTCTGTTCTATAGTTTCTTGGAATTAGGAATCCACAAGCATTTATATTAGTTTTTACAATCTCTTTTAAATGGACACTTTTCCTCCTGCAGAGTAAGGGCGGGTAAATTGTTTTACCACTAAATCATGTACAAAGAGCAACCTAAAAATGAAGGGCCTGATCCTGTGAATCACCTAGTTACTTCACCTCCCAATTAAGTTAATAGCAGTTGTGAGCACACAGGAAACACTCAGCACCCTGGAGGATCAGGCCTTCAGTACAAAATCAAAGGACCCAATCCTGAAGTCTTTGGGAGTTTTGCAGGAGTAAAAAATTTCCTGATTGTTAGTCTAAGAATGATTATTTAAGAGAACCATATTAACAAAAACACCAAGTAAAAACAAACAATAAATCAAACATTTGATCATTTTCATCAACAATGTAGACAAAGTTGACTTGAGCCTGATCCCACTGTCCTTACTCTGGGCCGGATTCTGCCACCCATACTTATGCTGGGATGGCTTTTGGAGTAAGGGCCCTGTTCCTTTGACTTCAAAAGTGATTTTTGCCTGACTAAAGACTGCAGGATTTGGCCCCATGTGACACTCTAAGCTACAAATGAACTGAAGTCACTTTAACTATTTTATAATTAAACTAAAGTATTAAGGACCAACTCACATCCATATGAGCACAATGAAGCCTATGGAGACAAATCCTAAACAGATGTAAGTAAAGACAGGATTTGGCACTCAGTAAAGGAGGCAAGAGATCCTCCAGTCAGCATAGTCAAAACCTTCCTGCCAATAAAACAGTAAAGAGATCCTATAAAATTTAAGTTGCATGGCCTTTAAAGTTAGTGAGTAGTATTGAAGCAAGAGGAAGCTTACCAAGACACTGTTGAAAAATTAAGGCAAAAGATTTTGATGTTAGTTGGATAAGTAAAATTGTTGTTGCAGTTTTAGAAACTTTTTCATTAAAAAAAAAAAAATCCCATGGCAGTCAGCACAGAGAAATAGTTTCTTCAAGACTGGATGATCCACACAGTTCCAGAGGAGATGACATTTCTCTTCATCCATGATGTTACGAAACTACCTTGCAAATAAGAACTCTCCTCTTTTATTACAATGGGTCTTGACATTGACATTGTCATGTTAATTGGCTAAATTCAACCCACTGTTTGAATTGAGGCTTTGAAGAGGTGTCAATGTTGACCACAGCTAACTCTACTAAATGCAAAAACCAACTCTAAAAACAATTAACCATACCAAGCCCCTAAGAATTTATGTACTATCATCAAAACTAATCTGACTCAGTGTTCCCCAAAAATGTGCTATTTTTTTCTCTTCAGCAAAGCTAAAGATTGGATCTGTTAAAAAAAATATAAATAATGACAGTCAACTTTTTGTTCAGAAGAAAGCTTACAAAATAGAATTTGAAAATCACAGTATAATTTGAAAGATCAAGACCCTCAAAGTAGTAAAGAAAAAAGAATGCAATTAGACTTTTGTTACAGCTGCAAAAAGCTGGCAGAGTTTTTCAACAATAACAGGTTTCAGAATGCATCCGATGAAGTGAGCTGTAGCTCACGAAAGCTTATGCTCAAATAAATTTGTTAGTCTCTAAGGTGCCACAAGTCCTCCTTTTCTTCTTTCAACAATAACAAAAGTTTATGAGCTTTAGTTTGTAAGTTTACTGCTATACCCTGTATGGTCCAAATAATTACAGTCCCAAGATAGCAAAGTGCTTCAGATCATGCTTAACTTTAAGTGCATTAATAGTTTCACTGAAGTTCTCAACCAGGTCTCCAGGGCCCCCTGAGGGGGGCTGCGAGTAGGTTTCAGGAAGTCCATAAAGCATGACTGGTGTTAGACTCACTAGGGCCCAGGGCAGAAAACCTAAGCCACATCACCCTGTGTGGCTGTGACTGTGTGGGTTCCTGAGCATTTGCCCTGCTTGCTACCCCCTAATACTGGCCCTGGCTTTTATATGCAGAAAAAATGTCGTTGTGGCACAGCTGGGCGAGTTTTTAATAACATGGGGAAGGGGGGGGGGGGGAACCTCAGAAAGAAAAGGGTTGATAGCCCCTAGTCTAGGACTCTTCATGGTGCTTAAAGTTATGCCTGGGTTTAGGTGCTGGACTGGGAACTATAGGTATTTGGAAACATCATTATGGTCATTTGGCATTTCTTTTACCTATAGCCTTTATACAGAAACCAGACTCTGTAGATGCACCTGATGCTGCGCAGTTCTTATGTGCACAGAGCTGCTTCACCGACTCAGTCTTCCTTCATGCAAGAAAGTGTTTGCCAGATCAGTGACAAATTCATGAAGCATTTTATTTCCTCTAAAGATACAAGGTTCATGTATTTATTCATATGATTCTTATTAATATAAATCCCTGCCCATTCCCAGGACTGGAGACAACAAGGCTGTGAAGTCCATGGTGATGCAGCGCACATACACACTCTCATATTATATTCATACTTGAGTCTATGACCCCAGCAAACAGCATCCTGGCTTGATTTGTTGCTTTAAGAACATAAAAACATAACCGCCATACTGGGTCATAACAAGGATCCATCTAACCCCATATCCTGTCTTCTGACCGTGGCCAATGCCAGGTGCTTCAGAGGGAATGAACGGAACAGGTAAACATCACGTGATCCATCCCGTCGCCCATTCCCAGCTTCTGGAAAACAGTTAGAGACACATCAGAACGTGGTTTTGTACCCCGCCCAACCTGGCTAATAGCAATTGATGGACCTATCCTCCATGAACTTATCTAGTTCTTTTTTGAATCCTGTTATAGTCTTGGCCTTCACAACATCCTCTGGCAAAGGGTTCCACAGGTTGACTGTGCAATGTGTGAAGAAATATTTCCTTTTGTTTGTTTTAAACCTGCTGCCTATTAATCTGGTGACCCCCTAGTTCATGTTTTATGAGGAGTAAATAACACTTCGGTATTTACTGTCTCCAAACCAGTCAGGATTTTATAGACGTCTATCGTATTCCCCCCCCTCCCCCAGTTGCCTCTTTTCCAAGTTGAAAATTAATCTTATTAATCTCTCTTCATAGTGAAGCTGTTCCACATCCCTAATCTTTTTTGTTGCCCTTTTCTGTACCCTTTCCAATATATCTTTTTTGAGAAGGGGTGACCAGATCTTCATGCAGCATTCAAGTTGCAGGCAAACCATGGATTTATATATAGGCAATGTGATATTTTCTGTTTTATTATCTATCCCTTTCCTAATGATTCCCAATATTCTGTTAGCTTTTTTGACTGCCACTGCACAGTGAGTGGATGTTTCCAGATAACTATCTACAACGACACCAAGATCTCTTTCTTGAGTGGTAACAGCAAATTTAGACCCCGTCATTTTATATGCATAGTTGGGATTATGATTTCCAATGTGCATTACTGTGCATTTATCAACATTGAATTTCATCTACCATTTTGTTGCCCAGTCACCCAGTTTTGAGAGATCCCTTTGTAACTCTTGGCAATCTGCTCTGGACTTAATTATCTTGAATAGTTTTGTATCATCTGCAAATTTTGCCACCTCACTGTTTAGTTCTTTTTCCAGATCATTTATGAATATGTTGAACAGTACTTGTCCTAGTACAGATCCCTGGGGGACACCACTATTTACCCATCTCCATTCTGAAAACTGACTATTTATTCCTACCCTTTGTTTCTTAATTTTTAACCAGCTACTGATCCAGGAGAGGACCTTCCCTTCCAACTTTTCTCCCAAGTTACCACCAAGAACAATTCCAGTCATAATAGTGGATGGCTGGTGGGATTTTTCCATGCCGCCAGTGGGACAGCCTAGGTTATTATTGTGGGGAGGGCCGCACAGTGACAGTGTCCCTTTAAAGACGTGTGTGCTCAGAATAGCATTATTGATTCTCAAAGACCTTGCTGCATGGATATTAACTGCTTGATTGATAAATTTCCATGTCTTTATAGTAGGTAAAGAAGAGAGCAATCTATGTAGAACAGTTATGCTGTATAGCCAATTTAAGATGCCTTTTTTGCTTTTTTGTCTGTGGTAGGGAAGCCTGGATCCTTGAAGTTGGGCTCTTTCTTGCCAGCAGAACAGGAATTTTCAGCTCCCCAGCACAGTATGTGGAAATAGTGTTCTGGACCAAGTAGTGGTCACAGGGCTTTCATCCACCTCTTCATTTGCAGCCATAGTTTCCCCCCTAATATTGTCATCATCCTACTCACATAGCATAGTCTCACCTGCTCAAAAAACATATTGCAGGAAGATCCAAGCATAAATATATAACAATAGCTTATTAACAGTGTCAGCTTTTGAACTCCCATGCTAGTTTGTGTCAGAGTCTTTAAATTATTTAAACATGGCACGGTGTGCTCTAATGTCTATCAGTACAGCTCATGATGGTGACCTTAAATCAGTGGTGTGCCTGGATTATGCTACTAGATGCTACTAGCAACTCTAGACTAGTTTTCAAAGAATGCATAATATTATTACTCTCCCACCGTATTTTCTGGGAGCAGAGACTTCATTAGGGACAGACTGATTATGAAGAGTGTGAGAGCCAGACATTGTACATAGTTACACAAATTACATATTATCTGAAGCATAATACAAAGCATTGGCTTAAATATAAGCACCTTTATTCAAAAGAAAACAGGTTGGGACCAGGTGGGGAAGGAAGATGGGTTGATGCTAGCCAACTAATAAAACAGAATTTAGCATCACCTTGCACCTTTGTGTTTTTTCATAAATAAATGGTTCTAGAAGGTGACGTTTTTAGTATTGAAAGTAAAGTCGTGCTGTTCATGATACATGCATCAAAAATCTAAATGCAACTTGTAAAAAGAATGTCACATGTTGTTAATGTCTTACAGGGTCACTGATGAACTGCTGGGAACCTTACAGAAATGTGATACAGTTCAGCTGATGTAAAAGAGCTCTCTTAATCTCTTTTTCACATGCATAAGTAACTCCACACTGCATGTAAATGTCGTATATCTATAGTAAACAGATCATTTAAAATTATTTATGTATGGCACAATATGTATTTTAATGGTATTTTTTGTAAAGGTCAGATAATGCAAAGGAAAACACGTAAAAGAGAAACCAAACAGCTCACATAGAAGATAGTGCATTCAAGTTACTTACAAGCATCTTACATATCATTATGCATTGGTAGTAAGGAAGGAAACTATTTTTCAATGTTGTACGAGAAAATGCTAATCATGAAAACCCTTTGAATACAAAGAACACTGCTACTGAAACAAAGCAACATACCACCAGCAAAACAAATTCGGGCGCACACATACACGGCTGTAGTTTGGGAGCTGGTATGGGGGAAATCTCAGAAACTCCACTTTTGACATTCAGTCATCATCCAAAACTAGAGATGCAATACTGGTGATAAAATGCTCATGCAGATTTCTTGTCAGGTTTACATTTGAAACTTTGCTGATACAGTAATTTCTAATAAGGGAATAAGTTTTTTGCAACATTTCTATAGCACAAAAAGCCCTAGTTTAGACCCAGTTTTACTGGCATTTTGCTGGTGTAACTTTGCAGAACCAACATAAACTATACTGACAAAAGCACTTTTTTGCCAAAATAAGCTGTGTCTACTTCTTCTATTCCCATGGTTAGCTCAGCAGCAATGATGAAATCTTTCCACCACTGTGTCTTGTACTAGCTTCATGGTTTTATTCATCTTTAAACCTTTTTCCTCTATGTCATTCTTCATTTTGTCTATCCAGCACATCTTTGATCTTCCTCTATTTCTAGTTCCTTGCACTCCGGTATTCTTTCTGGGTCCATTCTCAACACATGTCCAAACCATTGCAGTCACATTTCTTGGATCTTTTGTAACAGCATTATTTCTTGCTCTAGCCATTTTCTTATCCCTTCATTTTTTTTTCCAGTCTTGAAACTCAGAATTCCCTTCAGCCAGTTATTTCTGCAGTCAATATTTTTTGTTCATCAGCTTTCCTCATATTCCAACATTCCAATCTGTACATCAGTATTGGCCTAACAATTTTTTCATATGTGGATTTTTATCAGAATGTCTTTAGCCTTCCAGATCTTAGAGTTTTCTGAATGCAATAGCAGTTAGCCTGGAGTCCTCTTTTTATGTCACCTTCACAATTTCCATTCTTCAATACCAGCCCTCTGAGGAACACAAATTTTTCCACTTGTTCTAGTTTATTGTCCTTGAGTTTTATCCTTACATCTTCCTTGTCTTCCAATTGCAATAATTTTTGCTTTTTTCGTGCTGATCTTCAATCCAAAATTTTCTGCTCACAGCCTACCTTATCAGTTATTCTCCCTAGTCAATACTATGAGATCAATATCTGTGAATTTAAGGATATTCACTGTCCTCCTGCATAACATGCATTCTTGTCTCTCTCCTAGGTTCATTTAGAACCATTCCATTAGCTTCCCGTCTACTTTCACTGCACTCATCGACTTGCTGTAGCTGTTGTCTATCAGTTTGATCAATTTCTCGGGGATGCCATTCATTCTCAAGACTTGTCATAACCTGTAGCAACGCGTCGACTCACCAGTGAGGTGCCTTCTGCTGGTCATCTTGGGAATTAGCTCTTTCAGCACTCAGAGCACCCTCTGCTGGCCGGTGCCTTGCCTGCCTCAGGCCCTGAGTCCCTTCCGGACCCCGGTGCCCCTTTACCTCAGGGTTCTGCCCCACTCTGGATCTCCCCTGCCAGGGGAATCCCCAGCCCTCTATGCCCACCTTGCCTCAGTGGCTACTGCCAGTCATCATCTAGCCCCCTTTCCCTGGGGCAGACTGCAGTCTATAATGGCCACTCATCATTGGCTAGGGGGTAGGACCAGCTGCCTCTGCAACCCCAGTACCTGCTTTGGCCTTTACCAAGGCCCGCAGCCTGGGGATTTGCTTGTCTCGAGCTCCTCTTGCCTTTCCACAGCCATGCTCTACTCCCGGTACCCTGAGCTCCCAGGCAGCCAGGTCCTTCTCTCTCCATAGCTAGAGAGAGACTGTCCTGCCTTCTGGCCCTGCAGCTCTTTTATAGAGCCCAGTATGGCCCTGATTGACTGCCTCCAAGCCTTTTCCTATTGGCTCCCTGGGGCAGCCCTTTCCCAGGGCTGTTTTTAACCCCTTCATGGCCAGAGTGGGGTGACCGCGCCGCTACATAACCCTTTCTCCCAAATGCTATCTATAGCAGGGCTGGCCTTACCATGAGGTGAACTGAGGCGGCCACCTCAGGTGCCAGACTGTGGGGGGGAAGGGCCCCACTAGGACCCAGAGTGTAGAAAATTGTGTCTGCTGCTGATGCATATGTATTCTCTCTGCTCCAGATGCGCAGAGATGGTGGAGTGCTGTGCAGGAGGAAGGAGGGCACAAGAGACAGAACAGGCAGGCAGGCGAAAAGGTGAGAGGGAATAACAGAAAGCAGCAGGAGCTGCAGGGAGAGAGAGGAGGAGGAGCTTCTTATGTACCTCTCTAGCACCCCCAGGAGCCTGGACTGATTAACACCAGCTTCTCAGGGAGCTTCCTGTTTCCTGCTGCTTCCCTGAACCCACTTGAGGAGCACAGGCAGTCAACTGAAGTAGTAGGAGACAGTTAGGCCCTTAAGAGGCGGATATCTTCCCTCACTCAGGCCCTGCTACCAGCCTGCTTGTTTGTCCCCTTCAATTGAGTGTTGAGAGCCACTAT